ATTAACGTTTAATATATAATAACATTTACTTATGCGAAAAAAAAAAAATAAATAAATAAATTTTATCGAGCGTGAAAATTTTAATCTATTTAAACTACCCCAAAAACTAATCATAATAGATTAAATCTTACAAATTAAATAAATTAAATATTAACTGAAAACCGTATGAAACCTTAAAAAGGCACAAAATCAGATAAAGGCTTTTTTAATGAAAAATTTTTGTATTGATTGAACATTTCATACTCTTTAATTAAATAAAAATAGTTATAGACCGAAGATAATAGATTGGTCTCCTGAGCCAAGATAGCAATATTCAAGACCAGAAGTTCTCGAAGCTTGATAACTAGTTGTCTTTACAATGTATTTTTTGGAAAGAATATTTCTCTTGAATTGAGATAGTTTTTCTATCAGCTATCAACGGAGTATATTTCAGCTTACTTCAAAAAAAATGTTTCCCTGCTTTTTAAATCCGAAACACTGATTATTCACTATTTTTCAGTCATTTTCACTGTTTCAGATTTAATGAGTGAAGTTGTATAGTTAATGAACTCAACAGTTTTAGTTAGCAAAAATTGAAATTACCCAAGTTCAAATTGGCGTCTATAATTTCCAGTTGAAGCATCTAAACTGGTAACCAAGCAAATTTCATTTTCAAAAGTTTACTAGGTCAAACCTCACAACATTGTTGTGTTCACGCTCATAATTATAATAACTAAATCTATGATACAGAATTTAATTTAAATTATTGAAAAATAATTATTCTTCTCGACCGAAATAGTTTTTCAGATCACCCAAATAGTTACAACATTATAATCTATCAATAAAAGTTTTACCACAATTTATATTATATTTATCCGAAAAATGAGTAATTAAATGATAGTGATTCAAGTAAGATTACTACAAAACATCACTATAATTTATATTAAAATTCCTTCTAAAATGCAAAAAAAAAATTTCACTTTGTATTGAGAGAAATGTTATAACATCTCCAATTTAGATTAACAACATATAAAGCTTACATTTTAGGAGGCATACGGCTTCCAAAATTTGGAAAGCATTCTTGTTTGTTCTTATAAAAAACATCGTTTGATGGATGTTGGTGTGTATATAACGATAGATAACTCAGTTTGGATCGTAATGAATGTAACTAGAGACGTACAGAGGAAAGTACATAATCGCATGATACGATATACATTCATACATCACCGGAAGTCCATTCTCCGTCATGAAATACCAGTCGAGTGGTAGTCGTTGTTGGGCATTGTTTCCAAGTACGATAAGGTTCCTCTATTCTCTATATATTTTCATATGTATCCTACATTATTGTTGTTAAGCCCTCTCTTTATGAATATATATATATATATATATATATATATATATATATATATATATATATATATG